GGGCGCTGCTCCGGTGGGCTGTCCTCCGGCAGGGCGCTGCTCCGGTGGGCTGTCCTCCGGCAGGGCGCTGCTCCGGTGGGCTGTCCTCCGGCAGGGCGCTGCTCCGGTGGGCTGTCCTCCGGCAGGGCGCTGCTCAGGTGGGCTGTCCTCCGGCAGGGCGCTGCTCCGGTGGGCTGTCCTCCGGCAGGGCGCTGCTCCGGTGGGCTGTCCTGTAGCAGGGCGCTGCTCCGGTGGGCTGTCCTATAGCAGAGCGCTGCTCAGGTGGGCTGTCCTGTAGCAGGGCGCTGCTTCGGCGGGCTGTCCTGTAGCAGGGCGCTGCTCTGGCGGACTGTCCTCCGGCAGGGCGCTGCTCCGGTGGGCTGTCCTCCGGCAGGGCGCTGCTCCGGTGGGCTTTACCGCAGCAGGGCGCTGCTTCAGTAGGCTGTCCCGTAGCAGGGCGCTACTCTGGCGAGCTGTCCCGTAGCAAGGCGCTACTCTGGCGGGCTGTCTTCCGGCAGGGCGTTGCTCTGGCGGGCTGTCCTCCGGCAGGGCTCTACTCCGGTGGGCTGTCTCGCAGCAGGGCGCTGCTCCGGTGAGCTGTCGCTCTGAGTTGGGCTTGGCCCCTTCACGTGTCAGTGTCACGCGAATCCACCCTCCGCTCGCGCCGGCCGGCGGCAGCTGTCGGTTACAAATGTTGAGCTGTCGGTCACGTCGTGGCAATGTCCTTCCACCAGCTGTGCTTTGTGCTGCGGCGTGCTTACGAGGAAGTGGCAGTACGCTAGATTTTGGGTGTGGGGTGCATAACAGCAGTATGGAAAGGTGGTAGCATTAAAATGATAGTAAACGTCTTTACGGTGTGTTGGTTTAGTCCACTGTAAAGTGACTGACACGGCATTTTCAAGTTGTAATGTGAAGAAAGTTTTCGTTGATTCGTGGTGAAGCTGTTCGCCGACCTCTGCTACGTTGACTCTTAGCGCTGCGACTGTCCCATGAGGTATTAACTGCAGCATGTACCCTCTGCATGGTGACTGACCATAATGCTACCCGCGTCGCGATGGTACCTTATGTCATGATAACTCTGCACTTTGAGCGGAAAAAAGATCACAAGTGACAATATTTCCGTCGTCTTACTTGTCTAGGTGAAAATCTGCTTTTGCTATCAGAAGTCACGCCACGCCGCGGACAAAAACAAAGATGGGCAAGTTTTTTGATCGGTTCAATCCCTGCAGGGGACCAGCGACCACGCTACATGAGCCTCCAAAATGCAGCGGAACGTCCAAAGTGCATGTGGGCGTGGCCACGCGATTTAGCCCGGGTGTCGGAGCACCGGACGTGACCGGCGCTGTCGGCTCTGCCCTGACCCGGCGGGCGGTCCGTCCGTGATTTAGCCCGGGTGTCGGAGCACCGGACGTGACCGGCGCTGTCGGCTCTGCCCTGACCCGGCGGGCGGTCCGTCCCTGATTCAGCCCGGGTGTCGGAGCGCCGGACGTGACCGGCGCTGTCGGCTCTGCCCTGACCCGGCGGTCGGTCCGTCTCTGATTCAGCCCGGGTGTCGGAGCGCCGGACGTGACCGGCGCTGTCGGCTCTGCCCTGACCCGGCGGTCGGTCCGTCCGTAATTCAGCCCGGGTGTCGGAGCGCCGGACGTGACCGGCGCTGTCGGCTCTTCCCCGACCCAGCGGGCGGTCCGTCCGTGATTCAGCCCGGGTGTCGGAGCGCCGGACGTGACCGGCGCTGTCGGCTCCGCGCTGACCCGGCGGGCGGTCCGTCCGTGATTCAGCCCGGGTGTCGGAGTGCCGGACGTGACCGGCGCTGTCGGCGCTGCCCTGACCCGGCGGGCGGTCGGTCCGTGTCGCGGCCGGAGCCGGTCCGGCCGGTCCAGCAGGGTCCCAGATCATCCGCGGGACGGTGAGACCGACCGTCTGTCATCCGCCACGGAGGTGACGGCCTCATTAGAGTGCCGACCGTCTGACCGACGGCCGCGTCACGCAGGTGAAGTTGTCCCCGCCCCCCTGCGGGTCATATGATCCCCGCTCTGTGACGTGAGGGATCATCTGACCGTTCGTCTGTCGCATGGAGCTGGAGAGCCGTCTGACTATAGTCTGTCGTACTGAAGGGTTATCTAAATCCCAGTATGTCACACTGCTGACATTTTGCATGTCTGCCTGCCTCTGCCATGCCGAGGATGTACTCTGACCCTACTCTAACCTGCTGAAGAGGTGAAATTGCCGGCCAGACCTCCCTCCATTGCGACGCCCCAGCTTACCGGCTTTAAATTCATATGTTTGCGCATTCACCGCCGTCTTCTCACCATTCTCCGCCTCGCCCCTCCCGCGGCCCCGTCCGCATCTAGGCGGTGCCCGGCGAGCGGCGGCTGCCGTCGTCGCCCGTCGGCCGTCGACGGCGATGCGGGCGTGCCGATCGACTCGGGCATGTTTTGGGCGCCGACATCAGAGGCGCCGCCGACCGCGGGAAAAACAGGGCGGCGCCGCTTGCCGGTCCCGGCGGGCGACAGTGCGGCGCGGCGAACAAACAAACCGCCGAACCGAGTCGAACGGTCGCGGGCGCACACAGAGCGGCTGTTCAAACGGCTCGGCGGAGGGCGCCGGGCCGCTCGCCGCTCAGCAGCCGCTCGGCACTACATGCACGGCACGTGGTGTAGCCGAATGTTCCGCGTAAAATAGATCTCCATCCCGGTGCGATTTTTAGGCGTTGGCCGGCGTTGACGTGACTACAGGCTCCTCGTCGGCCGGCGGTGACGTGACTCCAGGCTCCTCGTCGACCGACGGTGGCGTGACTCCAGGCTCCTCGTCGGCCGGTGGTGACGTGACTCCAGGCTCCCCGTCGGCTGGCGGTGACGTCACTCCAGGCTCCTCGTCGGCCGGCGGCGACGTGACTCCAGGCTCCTCGTCGACCGACGGTGGCGTGACTCCAGGCTCCTCGTCGGCCAGCGGTGACGTGACTCCAGGCTCCCCGTCGGCCGGCGGTGACGTCACTCCAGGCTCCTCGTCGGCCGGCGGTGACGTGACTCCAGGCTCCCCGTCGGCCGGCGGTGACGTGACTCCAGGCTCCTCGTCGGCCGGCGTGACTCCAGGCTCCTCGTCGGCCGGCGGTGACGTGACTCCAGGCTCCCCGTCGGCCGGCGGTTGGGCACCTCTCGCTAACTACTCGCATGTGCTGCTCCGATGTTTGCGGAGGCGTCCTCCGTCACCGGGGAGGTGAGCAGACGGGCCTGCGCAGCCCATCACCTGCTCCAGCTGCGCCGGTCAGGCGTCGGCTGCGGAGCTCCTCAGGCGGGGTCGGCGCCGCCGCCGTTCTTGCCGCCGTTTTTGCGCGCGGTCGCTGCCGGCTGCCGGTCCCCCGAGTCACGTGATCGCGCGGGGTGACGCCCGTGCGCCCGCCGGCCACGGCGCGCTGCCAGGCACGTGACCTGGACGCGGTCGGCGGCGCCGCGGCCCGCTGTCGTCGCATGTCGGCGGCGGCGGCGTGACGCGGGCGAAACTCTGCCGCTGGTCGCTGTTGTGTTTACGTGCTGCAGAGAGGTGTGTGGGAGTTGGACCGTGGCGAGCAGAGGCTGGGATGCAGGCCGTGTGGGGGGGGGGGGGGAAGGGAGTGGAGAGCGCTCCGGCCCGGGCCCGCAGGCGGGTCGACAGAAGGCTGCGGTGCTGGTCCGCACAAATGTTAACCGCACGGGGGGGGGGGTTGACAATTTGCATGGTTTTTAGAGGAAAGGCGGAACGGCACGTAGGAGGGACGCATTAGTCGCAAATGTATACAGGTGGAAGATAACTTATTTTCGTAAAAATAGGCCTCACAGTAAAGCTACAAGCGTGGTCTGCTCAAAATAATAACTGGCATGGAAAGTGTCACTCACACTTGATCTCGACTTCTGCGTCAAACGCTACGCTTCTAGCAGGTCTATGGTCAACTCGTGTTTGATTTCTATCTCCCCAGAATTAGTAAGTTATCAGCTTAAGGAGCTTGTGAGCCTGTGATCAAAGCTAGAATTATCCCACACTAATTGAAGAGTTCACAGCTTCATCACGGCACTTTTCGTAGAAATGACCTCGTCGGTACTGATCTACCGATGCTTATCACAGCCTCCTCCCGGCATTTCTCGTGAAAAGGAACTTATCGGTAGCGATCTACTTGTGATAGTCATGTAAACATATGCGTCCTCTCTTACCACACTGCGGATGCCCCTGACCTGCTCCTCGCCTGACTGCATTCTCCGCTGCCTGTCCACAACTCCGCTCTACCCAGCTCCTCCGCTGCCTGCCCACACCGCTGCCTTACCCAGCTCCTCCTGCTGTCTGCCCACACCTCTGCTCTTACCCAGCTCCTCCGCTGCCTGTCCATAACTCTAGCTCTACCCAGCTCCTCTGCTGCCTGCCCACACCTCTGCTCTGCCCAGCTCCTCCGCTGCCTGACCACACCTTTGCTCCACCCAGCTCCTCCGCTGTCTGTCCATAACTCTGCTCTACCCAGCTCCTCCGCTGTCCTTACCCAGCTCCTCTGCTGTCTGCCCACACCCTGCTCTACCCAGCTCCTCTGCCGTCTGCCCACACCTCTGCTCTACCCAGCTCCTCTGCTGTCTGTCCACACCTCTGCTCTACCCAGCTCCCCGCTGCCTGACCACACCTTTGCTCCACCCAACTCCTCCGCTGTCTGTCCATAACTCTACTCTACCCAGCGCTTCTGCTGCCTGCCCACACCTTTGCTCTAATCAGCTTCTCCGCTGCCTGCCAGCACCTCTGCTCTACCCAGCTCCTCCGCTGCCTGACCACACCTTTCCTCCACCCAGCTCCTCCGCTGTCTGTCCATAACTCTACTCTACCCAGCTCTTCTGCTGCCCGCCCACACCTTTGTTCCACCCAGCTCCTCCGCTGCCTGTCCACACCTCTGCTCTTCCCAGCTCCTCCGCTGCCTGCCCACACCTCTGCCCTACCTAGCTCCTCCGCTGCCTGCCCACACCGCCGCTCTAGCCAGCGCAGCTCGTGACCTCGCGCCTCTCTGTCGCCAGGTGAACGGCCAGGACGTCTCGAAGGCGAGCCACGAGGAGGCGGTGCGCGCCTTCCAGGCGGCGCAGGAGCCGATCGTGGTGGAGGTGCGCCGGCGTCCGGCCGTCGGCGGCCTCCGGAGCGACGCCAACCGCAACCCCAAGCCGGCGCCGACCGCCGCCGAACAGGTACGGCCGGCCGCTTTGACGCCTTCTATTGCTGGTGACGGCGCGCGGGTTGTGCAGGGACGCTTGTGACTGCCTGCCGCGGCTTCTGCCGCTCGTCGCGCCGCCTCAGGCTGGTTGGTGTGTCAGGGACGGTGGTGTGTCAGGTGTGTCAGGGACGGTCGGAGGATCGGACCCCCAGTGTCCCGCTGATGAGGCAGCGACATTCCTTTCGTCGCGTTGTTGTCGTCCCTGTGTGGGCTCGGCAGCACGCTTTTATCTCTAATCTCATGGGTAAACACGTATCTAACATCAGCTTACCACATTCCAGGCCGACTAACGACGTCCCTTCCGGCCTCATGCCACTGTCACCATCCACGCCTCCTCCGGTTTTACGCCACCCTCATTCTACAGACGTTTCTCTCGCCATGAGTCCCGCCATCTCCCCGCGCCCCAAGCGGAAGGCTGCTAACTCGTGGATCAGTGACAGTGACTTGTAAATCGGCCGTCCCATCATGAGCGGGACACCCCTGACCTTGGGTGGATCGGCCGTTTTTGTGTTGGAATGTGTTGGCCCGATTTTGATGGATGGTGTCCCGGTTCTGTCGCTTTGATAATCTGACATCCGTTTTATTGCGCGTAAATTAGTAACCGACAGCTGATGGAAGACTGGGGAAGTTCTTCCTCCGAGCTGGCTCGTGCTTGTGCTTGTGCTAGCTCGTGCGCAGTGCTTGTGCGGAGTCCGTTGCGTGACGTGCACGGATAGGTGCTGGGAAGTGCAAGAGGGTTCTCAAATGATTTGAGTGTACGTTGTCGTGAACTTCGTACACATTGGATTGTATTGTTTCAATGTTCAGCGGTTCGTGTTTGTTTATGGGAACTGCCAGCCTCCTCCGGGCACCACCCGGTCCGGTTGGTGTTCGTCAGTGGCGCCGACCGCCTCCTGAGCGTGCGTCTGCCGCAGTCGGTGACGGTGTCGACGCAGACGGAATCCTGGCCGTGCTGTCCCGAGTTTCCGCCGGCGCCGCCGTTCGACGAGCTCGACCACATCGACGAGAGCTTCGAGGACGCCGCCGAGCCCGATGTCGACTTCGAGGTCAGTCTCCGGGTCAGCCGGTCATCGGGTCACGGTGATCTGTCGTGAGTTGTGACCTACGTGTTGCCATGGAACTCGGACGTCCATGCTGGCTTTGCATCCTGTACTGTTCTCCCTTTGTGGCCTTGGTTTTTTTTCTCGGTATTCTGAGATTGGCAAATGACAGATTGCGGTAATGCTTCTCAAGCCTTAGCAGTCATTTGCCATTGCGTAGACGTCTCTGGACTGTGATTTTAACTCCCATCTGCAGCCTTCTCAGGAGCAGCGGATCAGGGGGATTTAGTTAATGGGAAACGGACACTGAGGCCGCCTACTGAGTAGTGGCCCCAGCTTTTGTTCAAGTTGACGGCCCATGGCTGGAAACGGGTTGAGATTGGACCACTCACTCTTACTTACCAACAGAGCACCAGAGCCAAGTAAAGCAGCTTGCCCCCTCCCCCTCCGAAGGGAGCTTACTCCTGCATAAGCCTTCCGCACTGTAATGGTCTTGTTCACGCCCGGCCTGCGGTGCAGTCAGGGCACTGGACCGGCGCCAGGCATGTCCGTGTTTTGGGAAGATGCTGCTGTTGATACGGCCGCGTCCGCTGGTTATCTCGGCGCGCACGGCTGCCAGATGGGATTGAGTTGCCAGATCGCGACGCCGATAGTGGCGCGCTGCCGAATGGCGGCGAAAGTCGGCGTTACGCGGGCCCGCGCTATCGTAATGATCGGCGCGTGGGTCGGCCGCGGCGGCGGCGAGCTCGGCGTGCGGTGTGTCTTCAGGCAGTGTTCGGATAGGGGCCGCTAACCGTTACCTGGCGCGCCATTGGTCTCATGCGAGCTCTGGAGTCCGGTGTACAATGTTACATCGGATCACGTCCAATTTATCAAATCAGGTCTGTCATGGTGTGTGTTTTGGGTTGTGCAGTCGGAAGACAACGAACTGGTTCAAACCTGCTGTAGTGTTATCTCTTTTTTCCTTAATTTTCCCAGCTCCAGTTTCACTCAAACTTAAGGAAAACAAAGGCAGCGAAGTTGCAGGAAATCCCAAGCTCCACGGCCTAAGTCTTCGCTCGCAGTTTATTTTTATCTGCTCGTAACACGGGCAGGACCATACGTGATCTGTGCACAGATGAACAATGCCCGGCGCCCGCACGCATAGCCGTGCAACTTGTTCGGGCTCTCCGCTGCAAACTGACGCATCAGCAACGGCCATATGCTCGACCCGACCGCGATCGCCGCCTTGTCAGTCTGGGGCACCCCGAGCGGCGGGGTGAGGGGCGGGGACCGTCTCCCCGGCGCGTCCCTGGGGCCCCCCGGCCGTCTCCAAATTGAAGCCGTCCCGTCCGCGGCCGATGCATTGAGTCCGACCTCACGTGCCGGGCGCGAGATCGAGTTACGTCCGCTTGATTGGCGTCGGCGGACGGCCCCGACAAAATCAGCAGCGACGTCCGTGGAGGGTCCGGCGATCGAGCCGGCCCGAAGGCGGACGGGTCGACGCTGGGGATCTCCCCTAGGCCGGCACGGAGAGTTCCGGGGGCTGGCGCTGGAAATATCTGAGGGACTGGCGGTGGAGAGGACCCGGAGTTTGGCACTGGGATCGATCTGCAGGGTGGTGCTGGATACAACAGCCCGCTGGAAAGGTCCGGAAGCTTTCAGCATTCACCGGGAGGATTCAGGAGCTGGCGCTGGAAAGGATCTGGAGTTTGGCTCTGGAGGTGGGCTCCATTCTGGCGGCCACGTTCGTGGCTACGGCACGCTCAGTGCTCTGTGCCTGGAAACATGGTAGGGAGATATGAGGACGTAGTGACGGCACCCTACAACATTAAATGCAAGAGGCCCCAGAGACCGGAGGGCTGCCATTTGGTGGCATTTGCCGCGAGCTACTCGCATATCCTCTCCGTGGAAACGCAGAAACTTCTTTCCGTAACGACCGGAGCGAAGCCCTCAATCACAATTATGTCCGTGGCCAGACCCATCCCACTGTCCAACTAACGACCTCAGACTGGTCTGGTGCGCTTTATTGAGGACATCTGCGTCGGCATACAGACCCCAGGGGAATTTTCTGGGAATGTACCGACGGAAAGTCCGCTCCAAGTCAACTGCAGGTCGAGCGTCTTCATTTGTCCGCTTGTGCCGTCTTGGTTCAAGGAATGTCTACGAGTTAAAATATTACTATCTCCAACGCACTGTGTGAATATCTAATTGGTTGGCAACGGGGCAACGGGCGCGAGCTCTCCCATTTTAAAACTTAACACGCGCCCAGGTGGTCAGTTGGATACCGTTCGCTCGGGTGGGGGGTCAAGTTGACCCCCCTGAGATTCCAGGAACTAAGAGAGCTAGAAACACTAAATTTACGGGGTGTATTGATCTGTACGTGAACTCACTTATGTCAAAGTTTGAGCTTCCGTAGGTCATGACTGTCGCGTCAAATAGGATCAAACAGGGTCAAATTCCAGGCTAGTCTTCAAAGGGCCCCTAGAACCTAGATAACTGTTCTAAGCAAAAGGTCACTCTCTCATCGAAGGTCAGTGACCTTTTTTGACCTTTTGAAGGTAATAATGACCAAAATCATACCAGACCATGTTGAGTTTTACATTTGGATAAGCGGCAAAGATTACACCAGGCAGTGTAATCACTGAATTCGAAATGATCACTAGGAACCACACCATACAGCAAGCGCTAGAGTAATGAAACAGGTTGATTTTGACCTTGATCTAACCTTTATACCCGACCATAGGTCAATGTGATTTGTTTATTCAATTGCTGTGTTGGCTAAGAAAGTACCTCAGAGATGTATGGCTGCGTCTAACACTCCGTTGTTGAATCAGGTCGAACAATTCCCTAGAAATTGCCTTCGCTGAAACCATGGCCTGACTTTGATTTGTCCTATGTCAGGGACCTTACAAGGTACACCCAAATCCTTTCATACCAGACGATCCGCTATTGCATTGTCTACAGCTATGCAACATTTTACGTGACTTCACCGCGCCGTTCGAAAACCATTCCAGAAAGACGTTCCGGGTGGGGGTCAATTTGACCCCCCACCCGAGCACGGATTATATAAGCATCATGGAAGCAAGCAAAATACTTGAAGTAGGATTTAATGCTATAAATAAATTTCATTGTTCTGCGAGCACTGGGGGCGCAGTTTAAAAAAAGGCAATTAACTGACGGTCTCCGCGCCCCGTTATACTCAAGCTGTTGGAATTTTGGACCCATCGGCCGTCGGACCGTCCGCCCCTGTGTGATCAACCCTTGTGTGCTACGAGATAACCCAATCCGTTCGGTTGGGAGATCAAAACAACGCGGCCCTCGATTTGATTACCATCTTCGTTGAAGTCATAGTGCCATGTCAGCCTGAGTCCTATCACCGTACCAGATGAGGGTGGGTCGCATAAGCAAACTTTGAAGCCTCTAACAGGCACTAACGAACACACAAATCTAGGAGCAAAGCTAGGGGAACGTTAATTACATGGCACCCTACATAAAGAGGTAATTAGATAAGCCAACCCTCCAGCGAACGAAGGCTTATTGGGCACAGACTTGGTTAAAGTCTTGAGCCACACAAATATCATAGCTAAACTCCCCCAGATATAGACGGCAGTCTCGAACTGAAATATGTTTATTGCTGCTTCACCTCCTGTTTCGTCCAGGATTGCGCCCAATTCCTCTGAAAGCTTCGGTTAAAAAGGCGCCTTTTTGTCCTTACCAGATCAACCTCTGTTCTTCGAGCTGGTACCACTCTGTGAGGCTGGCCGTGACTATAAGGAGCTGTCGTGGCTATTAAGTTGGCCCTTGACTACTCTGAGTCCTCCATGACATTCGTAGCTGGCCATGGCGATCGTTTGAGACTGCTTTTGACTACATGAGGCTAACCTTGTCCAGACTGCTCCGGGCCGCTCGAGGCAGGTCCTGGTTTTTTTTAGACCACCTCTGATCGCTGGACACTGGTCCTCACCGTTGACAGCGGGTCCTGACCATTTGAGGCTACCCCAACCTTGCAGGACTGTCCCCTCCTGACCAAGATCCTTTGTAGACTGGCATGATCATTCGAAGGTTGCTCTGTCCTTCCGGGATTACCCTGATTCTTGCCCAATAATATGACCTTTGCTGACACTGACCACGTCGACAGGAGGTGACCTTGCAGAGGTCATCGACCTCGGAGCGGCTCGGCCTGACCCTGTACTACCCGGACGGCGAGGAGACGCCCAACGAGACGGACGTACTGGTGCGCAGTGTTGAGGCCGGCGGCATCGCCGCCAGCGACGGCCGCATCCAGCCGGGAGACCAGATCATCCAGGTCAGTCGGGTCACGTCATATCGTGTGGGGTCAAAACTGAGCCCGCTCAGGGCGGTATGGAACATGAGGGTGAGGTCACCAGGACATCGAGTGATGTTCAGAGCAGAGGTGGGGTCATCCAGATCACTGGAGGTCATCGGGTCAGGTCCCGGTCAGAATGTGGTGCATTCGGGTCAGTCCAGGTCATGTCAGGTAACGTCCAAATTTGAGATGAATTTTTCCATATCAGTGTAGGTCAAATCATTTTTTTCAGGTCGACACTGGCAGGTGTAATGTCTGTAATCTCCCATTCAACATTCAATGAACTCCCAGTTCAGTGTTGGTTACGACAGGCAGTGCCCACATCTGACCCCGGAAGTACCCAGCGTGTGCAAGGTCACGTCAGGTCAGACCCTGTCACCCTTGGTCCAGACATCAGACGGGTCCAAGGCGACGCCAAAAGAGCCGGGCGGCGGCGTCCGCACAGCGATACTCGTGAGCACGTGGGTCGCGTCGCGTTGCATCTGAGCTGTCATCGCCGACGACAGCGCGCGAGCGCTGAAGGATCGGCGCGTCACCGTCAGCGCCCTCTGACGGCGGACAGACCCGTGCAGGCACGGCGCCGCTGCAGCCGCCGCCGGTGCACGAGGCCGTCGGCGCGGCGGAAGGCGCGCTGTTGATGCCATCTGTCGGCCGGGCGTCTGAAGTGCTGGTCGGAATGTGAGGCGTTCAAGGAGGCCGGCCGCCCCGGCCGCTGGGGCGCCGAGTGGCGTCCGTCGGAGGACGAGTGGTGCTCCCGCGGTGTGGAGTGGGGTCGCGGGCGGCGGTGTAGAGCACCGCGCTCTCACTCGGCCACCCCTCCGCGCTGTGTGGATGTCGCGCTGAGAGGGGTCGCCCGTGGGAGAAGGCCACTGACGGGAAGAGGAACGCGCCGGTCGGCAGACCGCGGCGGCCGCAGCCTGGCCACCCCCGCCCGACCGGTCAGTGGCCAGGGCAGACGCCACCACCAGCTGCGACCAGCAGCTACTGCCCACTACCACTTTGATCACTCGGGTTACTTTGGCTACTCCGACCACACCAGCCAATCCGACCACCCTGACTGATCAAGCCACTCTGACCACTCCGACTAGTCAGACTACTCCGACCACTCCGAGCTTTCTGACCCTCCGCGGTCTGGCACTCACTCGGCCATCGCACGTCCGCACGTCTGTCGGCTGTGCTTGCCGGGCACAATGGCGGCAGAGCCAACAGTATCGGCGGCATCCCCCGTATCCCACCAGAACGGCCCAGGGCCGGGTCAGGCAAGGTCAGAGGCCAGAGCCGCGGGCGCAATCTGAAGAGCACCGAACCCCCACTGAGCTCCTATCGTGTCCTCCGCAGATCAACGGCGAGGAGGTCACCGGCAAGGAACAGGCGGAGCGGCTGCTGGCGGCGCGGCCAGATGTTCTGCTGCTACTCTGTCGGCCGGCGCAGCAGGTGAGGGAACTCTGCCCCGCCGGCCGCGACGGCCGTGAGCGCCACGGGATCCTCCTGTCGGGATAGCATTTCCCGGCTGCTGATGGGCGACGATTGATTCCCTGCGCCGCGCTTTCGCATGGTGCCGTCAAGCTTATTGACGATATTTGGCGAATGGTATTGATCTGGTAGTGTACAGTTGTTCGTAAACATGCTGCTCTCTGAAACGGGGGGAAATGAAGCCCCAGTCGGTTGCGCAATCAGAATTGGCTGCGCTGTTGTGAGACCGCTGTGCCCGTCGTGGGTCGCGATTCAATCTCTCGCGAGGAATGCGACCAAAACGGCGAGACTGTTGCCCATTCCATGCGCCTTCTAGCACCCACCTGGGACACGGAGCTGATGTGATGGCAACGTGCCTGTCATCGTGGTGACCTGCCCCGATCATGCTGTTGATATGACTGGGTTTTTGTGAACCCAGGCGACCCGCCCTCCCCTCGACCTGTCTTCAGCTTACCGCTGACGGACAGGCCTCGGCGATATTGGTTCGTGTTTTTCACGCAATGGCTGGCTCTAGTCAATAGTTGTCAGCGGAGTTTGGCGGGTAAAAACAGGCGCGTTTTTACACGGGTATTTCCCTGTTTACCTAAGCTCTCGTGGCTTTGGTTTTACCCCATGTCGCTCAACTGCGCGGTTTGATTTGGCTCAGCTGTTTGTGCGTTGAGTCGTGATCGTTCCCCCTTTCTCTGCTTCTGCTCAGACAAACGAGGAAGTCACGCCACTGGAGCAGAGCGAAGCACACGCTGACCTCGGGTCGCCTCAGGTCAACTTTCGGCAGGACTTGGACAACAGGCGAGTATGGTCACCATGCAGCGAGCAGCATCCATGGTTCCCATAATCAGCTTTCTGCCTTTGTGACCTTGCGCCTTCAGACATGCTACTCTCATGTAACGGACATCTACTGACCGGCGTACTATAGCGTTGTACCCATGTCACACCATGTGAAGTCGATGGAGCATGTCAATGGTGTGCCGACATCAGTCTGTGTGCTGGCCTGTCTGCCGACAGGGGACGTGCGTGCCTGTGACGTGTGCCGCTCGGACCGCCCGGGGGACGTGCATGCCTGTGACGTGTGCCGCTCAGACCGGCCGGGGGACGTGCGTGCATGTGACGTGTACCGCTCGGACCGGCCGGGGACGTGCGTGCCTCTGACGTGTGCCGTTCGGACCGGCTGGGGGACGTGCGTGCATGTGACGTGTGCCGCTCGGACCGGCCGAGGACGTGCGTGCCTGTGACGTGTGCTGCTCGGACCGGCTTGGGGACGTGCGTGCATGTGACGTGTGCCGCTCGGACCGGCTGGGGTACGTGCGTGCATGTGACGTGTGCCGCTCGGACCGGCCGAGGACGTGCGTGCCTGTGACGTGTGCCGCTCGGACCGGCCGAGGACGTACGTGCCTGTAACGTGTGCCACTCGGACCGCAGGGTGGCGGACAGACTCTCGCCGGCCGGCGGCGCCCGTCGGCAGCGTGACTCGCTGGAGAAGCGCGACACCATGAAGAGCGGCAGCAGCAGCGGCGGCAGCAGCGGCGACAGCGGCGTCCGGCCGGCGCCCGCCGCCGCGCCCGGCCGCGCCGCCGGCGAGCTCACCATCGACCGCGAGCTCTACCTGGTCAACAAGCAAATGACGTGCATCCAACAGGAGTGCGAGTCACTGGCGCGCCGACAGGGCGAGCGGCGTCGCGGCGTTGAGGACCACATCTACGAGACGATCGCCGAGGGCACCGAGCCCGACGAGCCGGTGTACTGCCAGCCCTACGCGCCGGCCGACGCGCCGCCGCCGCCACCGCCGCCGGGCGGTGCCGCTCGCTCGCGGCGGGACGTCGAGCGATGGGTGCGCGCGACGGCGGCCGAGCCGGCGGCAGAGCCTGAGGAGGGCTGGCACCGCACCAGCTCGACCAATGACAGCCAGAGCAGCGCCGAGTCAAGGCCGGCGCGCCGCGAGCGCGCCGCCAAGGACGCCGAGGAGAAGGATAGCTCGAGCGCGTACAACACAGGGCGACTCGAGTCGCAGCACGCCGCTGACTCTGGAGCTGGGCTTAGTGGCGGACGAGGCGGGTCGAGAGGCTCGCCAGTCGACGCTGATGCTGGCGGCACCTACGCGCGACCTCTCGCTTCAGGTCAGCCTCGACTCCGACACGTACAGCGAGGTCTCCTGCAAGAACTGTCGCAAGTGCATGCGCCTGCCGCCGCTGCAGCAGACGCCGACCAAGAACAAGAACGTCGTCAACAGCTTCAACGCCGTGGAGAAGAACCGCAACTATGTCACGTTCATGCCCTATCAGACGCACTACACGAACGCGGCGAATCTGGAGGAGACGATGCAGCAGCAGCAGCGGCAGCTGTACCAGCAGATCATGCGTCGCTCCCAGCCACGCGCGCTGCCGGGCAGTCCTGGCCATCCGAACGCCCGAGCTGCGCCGGCCTTCGGCGCCACGCTCGGCCACTACCGCTACGTCAGCTCACCTGGCGGCGCGCCGCGCAACCACAGTCTCACGCTGCCGGCCGACAGGGGCCCGGACGAGCCGCAGTTCCAGTACAAGGTGAAGGTGCGCTCGGACGGCTCGCGCTACATCGCGCGCCGCCCGGTCAGGAAGCAGCAGCTGCGCGAGCGGGCGGCGCGCATCGCTGAGGAGAGGACCGGCATCACTACCGACGATGACGCCGTCTCTGAACTCAAGGTAAGACGGGCGGCCATCCGGAGCCCCCCCCCCCCCCCCGTACCTCCCGGCCGTCGTGACGCTGGCTGCCGCTTGCCGTCTTTGTCCTCTACGCGGCATCATCGCGAGACTTCTGCTGTTTGCTGACTGTACGATTGTTGTGGTAGCTATCTTATGTGGTGTATTTGATGCCAAGTCCTCACTTCACTGCGCAAACGTTTTGCAGCTGAGGCCAGGAAAAGTTGGAGACTACTTCATTATGGTACATTATGCCACTCGGCGTGTTAAACTGAGAACGTCAATATATATATGTGCAACAGTTTTGTCACGTCTGGCCTCCGGAGGCCTGTTCTGCTAACCGGCGACGTCTGCTGTGTCTACTGCCGGTAGTATCTTTAGTGTCTCTAGCATCTGTAGTGTATAGCGCTGGTGCTAACAATGCCGTCTGTAGCTGGGGCGCTACTGGCCGCGGGACGAGAAGAAACGCCAGCTGGAGAGGGCGCGAGAGCGCAAGCAGAAGCAGCAGCAGCGCACCAAGATGGCCGCCGTGCCGGAGGAAGGTGCTACGGAGGAGCCCAGCGTCGTTAAGCGGCAGGTGAGACGTGAGAACCCGGCGCCGCAACGCGAAGATAGGCAGTAGAAGTAGGTAGAAGTAGCTCCGAGCACACACTACACGCTTATGTAGCGTGTGTTCGGAGGTGGCCGCTATTGGCTGTTGTTGGCCGAAGGTAACATTTCCTTGACTGGTTGTGCGTCGACTCCCCGTGTAGTTCAGGGACATGGGCAGTTTATTTTAGGTTTAGTGTTATTATGCTGAGCTGTCGACCGTCGATATTCTAGGAGGTACGGATTAAACGATGTTATAGTGCAAACATTGGTTATGTTGACGACGCATTTGACGCTTCAAGGCAGGTTATGGCCACGATTAAGAAGGGCTGTGCAAGGTTAAGCATAAAGTACGCTTGAAAACTGAGATTCGTGAATCCATGAAAGGCTGGGATCTGTGCTGCCTTACCACCCGACACCGGGATGTGCACTCATTGCTCCACGAAACTCATGCTGGTAAGCCTGAAGGTCGCGATGGTCCATCCCAAGTATTATATTAGAAAATTTCAGACCATATGCTCAATACCAAAACAAATAAAATACATATGAACACAATAAAATATACGAATATAGACGCAAAATAGCGACAAAAAATCTATATCAAGTCGAATGCCCGGTAGGGGACATGGTAACCTTTCGGAGTAGCCACCCTGTGTTTCGTGCAGCCCTTAGCGCAGAACCGTAGATAGGGCGTGAAGATCAGGAGTTTGGATGACTTATTAGATTCGACGCCTTTAAAAAGCTGTGTTTGCAAAGAAACATTTTCTGGATTCACGTGTCTTGGCTTTCAAACTATTCTTTACTTAGCTTTGCTCAACCCCTTTCGCTCGATGATCTCACTTAAGTCACACGCCCAATTAGACGCCCAACTTAAGGCGTCGAAGGCTTTCATACAGCCATTCTGCAACGTCGTTTAACCAGTACCTGGTGGTATATTGAAGGCCGATAACTCAGCATAAAGACTCTGACCGCGTAATACCGAGAAGAGGAGAACAGTCAAGCTGAAGGTCTTTCTTTTGTATGTCATATATGTATTTTACTTGACAGGTAAGTGAGCAAAATTGCATGTATGCTAAATATACACTACATAAGTATGAATTTCATGGTTTTGTCATAATTCATTCCATAGGTATTTCATCAACTATTGTGGAAAGCTTCTTGATAGATGGTGTTCAGTAGTCACTCGAAACACTATGCTTGGTTGTATAGGCCTCGCATGGTTGCTGTTCACATGCTGCGGAAGTAGGCTGGCGCTGACAGCTGGCGGCCGGCAAATGACTAATGAAGAAACATGCTGCATTTAAGGCCAACATGCATCCGTTTGTGGAGACCAGCTTACAAAGAAGATCCACTTCTTCTTCCATGCGAAACAAAAGCCATGGCCAGGAAGAGTTTCTGAAGCATGCGAAGCCCCCTAAAACTGCCGATGCTCTTCTGTCAGTTACTACTGTTTAGTCGGCGTATGGAAACCAAAGGCAAGTGCTCCTTTGTTTTTCTTCGTTTTGTTGTATGTTCGTCTATGCTACGCTTGTTCCTGTTCTAAACGTTACGAAATTTGCAGCATGTTGGCTGCTTTTTCGCGAATGATGTTGGACCATGTCACAGATTGGCCGTGTTGATGTGGCAGCGTCCGTGAGGAAAATAATCTAACGTGGTATTCACTCGCTTGAGAATGCTGGTTTTAACCTAGCAAACTCGTCTTTTGACCGCTTCTTCCGCTTTCGTACAATGTTATACAATGTTGAAATATTTCATGCAAACAACAAAGGTCATGATCTCCTGGCTTTTCGGCTTGGTGGATTGGGAAGGCTTATCCTGACTGTAAATGACCTTCAATATGTCAGGAGTAACGAGCTATACGTCCTTACCAACAAAACATTAAACTCCTGGAAATGGACTACTAGACTGCATTACCTCTGGTGTAGCCGTGCTAAATTGCCAATGTGGCTAATGCTATCGCGATTCCGGCGTTCAGCCATCGCCTCTTGGCATACTGGAGGCCGATTATTAACAGACTTAGGCAGGCCAGTTTTACTGCACGTCACTAATGGTAGCCCCCCCCCCCCCCAGGTGCAGCTGTTCTGCGCGCGGAAGACCGTCGCTTGACTTCCTACCGTCTCCATACGCTGCTCTTCCTCTCGGTGTGATACGCGCTGAACGCGGAGTGGCGGCTGCCCGCGCGGCCTGGACCGCCGGTCGCCGCGCTCCCCGGGCTAGTCATTCGGTGTGCCGGCTGCGCGCGAGGCCCGTGTGGTCGTGGCTTGTCGGTGTCGCTGGCCGCGCAGACGACGGTCGTCTCTGTCCGCGTCAAGTGTAGTGTGATGCGGAAGAGGAGCGATCCGGTCGAAGACTGAAAGTGGACGTCCGAGACGGAGACGGTGGTCGGCTGCCGTCGCCGTCAGGTGGCAGCACAGACGCTGATCAGGGTATCCTGTAGGTGGCAGGACTGACCGTAACGGGCAGGGTATAGGTGGCAGCAGTGATGCCCAGTCCTGGGAGGGTTATTGTTTTTATTTTGATTGCTTCCCTGCGCCTGGGCGACGGCAAAGACCAGAACATGTGCTGACGCGTTTGAGCTGATTTTTCTTCGTTGTTTGACTTCGGCCAGCGTTTATCTGCTCCGTGTTTGCTGCCCTGTCGGCATTGGGCTGCCGGGACGGATAATGGTTGCTCATCATAGCACACACTCCTCGCAGCCTCGATGTCGGTTACGGTGCTGGTGCAGTGCTCCGTGACATACGAGCTCAGTGTAATATGGCTGGAGAATTCCCGCTCTCCTGGGTCAAGTCCTGCTAAATTTCAGCCCTGAGCCGCCAAATGGCAGCCCCGAACACTATGGCGCATCGTGCTGCTAATGTCTTTGCCAGTTTTCGTATTTTTTGTGATCTTTGTATCTTGCTATTCGCTTTGTGCAATGGGATTAAGTGTTGCGCTAAATATAAAAGCGAGGAATGAGTCATGTTGCCCTTTTTTGCACGCAACATATGGTTAGTTGCATAGGAAACATTTAAGACAAACATTCAACATTCAAGATGAAGAGTCGCTGTGACGTAACCTTTGCTTCAGTCCAGGTGCCGCATACGGCTATTATTTTGTTGCTTTTAACTAATTGACATGACTACAGTGCGCCGACTTCTAATGTTCATCACGTCATCGCGTGCCGCAGTGCTCATGGAATATCGCCGTCGTTTTCATGTGGTCCCTGGCGATTGTACGGTCCAGCCGTTGTTTTGCTTTGTCATGTTGCCTTTGTGGTCAGGTTGTTGTGAAGCTTGCTCCTCGCCTTACTGTCCACTTTCATTTCAAAGCTCTCATCTGATAAGCGGTTTTACAGACGCTGTTGATGCAGGACCCTGCGGGTGTCATCACGCATGCGCGGAAATGCCTGCAAAGTAAGCTCTACAGCATTTTCAGTAATATATTCGAACATCACAGTACAAATTGCCGCTAAAACCACTCATTCGACTACCGTCCTCAGCTATAACACGTAGTAATTTCAAAGGTTATCGCGTAAACGATCAGCAGAGACGAGTAAAAACCTCAACAGAGGGGGGTAAATCATCAAGAGTTTGTGGAAACATGTCTAAAACAGGAGCCCTAGTATCGAGCTCAGTGCACATGCAACCAGACCATATTATCTTACACGCTTGAAAATGAATGCACGTATAAATGGCACGGCAGCGGACGGAGCTGAAACGGACGGAAGACTTCGATACTGCAGTCTTGTCTGTACGGCATATCTGTAAAATACAACTCACGCCCCACACAACTATGTCCTAATTCATGACATGCACACAAACCGTCATTTAATTAATAAACATGTAAACGGACGGGCCTTCCGCCGGTCGCGCCATGCACGCGCGAGCCCAACTCGCACTGTGCGTGTTTCCGGCGCGCTACTGACACACACACACACACATACAGTCGTCTCAGCAGCTTCTACATCTCCCGTAGACCTCGAAGGGCCCGGGCCTGTGCGGCGGGCGACTGTTCGCTCTAGGCCGCCCGGCTCCATCCGAAACACTGCTCTACAGTGGCGGCCGGCCGGCGCGTGCCCGCCGCCCTCCGCCGGCGGCTCCGAGGCTGACCAGCGACCGCTACAGCCGACTATTGTACTCGTAGAACTGGTTGTTGTCGATGGCCAGGTTGTCGAAGCCGGCCCGCGTCTGGGCGTTCTTCTCGCGGTGCGCGATGTTCTCTGAGTGCCTGTACCACTCGTCCGTAGCCCGGAATGACTTGAGAATATTCTGTGGGGCAGGCGCGGCACTGCGTCAGCCGCCCGTGTCCGATGACGCACTGGACACGCGCATCCACACGCACATGCGGCGAGCTGAACGCACGTGCGGCGATGAGGGTAAGACATAGCGCGCGTCGAGACAGCCATTTGGCGGTCACCGTGCACGTTTCGCTGTTACCGGAGGCCTAGTTTTCTTCCAAAACGTTACCCGCATCGCCAACTTTCGTCCGAAACACGCTGGTATGGTCTGCGATAATAGCATCACGCATGGGGTGTTCTTGCTGTACCTCAGCTGTAAAGCGGGTCGTTGCGCGTCACCGCCATGCCAGGACTAGTACGCACCTGCACACACACGCGCACGTGTACACGCTCACACACATGCACACGTACACACACATGCTCACGCACACGCACACGCACACGCACACGCACACGCACACGCACTCAGGCTCTCAGTTCACCACCTGGATCAGACACACACGGCACCCAAACATATCTCGTATGGCTCACACTCAGCGTCAATATGAACACATGCAACGCATGATCCACTCGGCACTCACCCCTTTCTGGAAGAAGATGACGTCGACAAGGAAGCCGAGGGGCACCATGGCCATGATGAAAATGGCGATGGCCCAGCCTACCATGTTTGCCCAAACTGGGTACGTATAGTCCCCCGACACTAGGGGCTTGGCGCCTTCCACGCTGAACGCGATGATCCCCTGCGAACGCACAAGGACGGATCAAGGCTGCGGCTCTGACCGCACGTAGCGGCACGTGGGCTCGAGGTTCGCACGTGGGATCCAGGTCGTCGAAAAGTGCCAAGTGGTCTGTGCTGATGGGCAGAAGGGTCATAATTAGCACTGTGACGGAGTGCTGAGTGCGCTATAGAAACAACGTTGTTGGATATGCTCACGTGATTTGTGCCGGTGATTGGTATCATTGTGTGCGACATCTCGTGAATCTTGTAAAAAACAATCAACCGTTAAAAGCATAATTTTGATGGTTGTATTTCTCCAAAATTGGATGGAAATATTCACTTCAGACAAGTCAATGGCATTTTAATTAGCTTTGTGACATGCATTGCAAACATGTGATAAATTATAGTGTGATCCTGCTATGGAAAACAATATCACATGTCACTTACGCCTTCGTATGTCATACCTCACATCTACACGACAATTAAGGTTATAGGGAGCAGGACTTATCTTTCCCAACTCAATATATTATATATGGTATGGTTTCTGAATGTATATAGCATAACTACATTTACTGACATTCGATAAAGTGTTGGACGACGTGCCTCACGCAGGCTTTCAAAAGGGATGACTCCCTGACTGACTCACATCACCCCGCTGGGAGCGAAGTGATCCAAAGGGATGGAGTTTAAATACAAACGACTTGCCAAATGTCAAACGACATGTCAAAATGACGTCAGCAGTCACGCGCTCCAATCCCCTAGAACTATTGCTGTAGCACATCGGGCGTGCATTGTGGAATGAGCTCCGGGAGGAAGAGACAGCAGTCCTCACCTACCAAACTCGGGTCAGGTGCACTAGTCACGTCGTATAAAAGATGTCTAAGGAGAAATATCACTCTGCAGTTGAACGAGCAATATGTGGAAAGGGGCCTTTCGATAGGGACTTTAATAAACAAATACTGTTGAGAATGTACTGCAAATGCAAGTAATGAAAGCAGGCTGCATACAAGATACTTTTAAGTAATATTGACAATATCACGTGCGCTTGAATATAACTGCTATCTAATCTATGGTTAGGTGCAAACTTTCATTAATGAATGGTGGCGACCCAGCGCCGGCAGTGACTATGATTTCCGTGGCAAAAAACGAGCCAGATTAACGTCACGTAACTTCAAAATTTGCTGCTTTAATTTTGCTTTGTTTACTTTTTCTTTGCCCAAAATGTTGTTTTTTTCAAAATGTTCCCTTGCCTTGCACCGGACAGCATGGGCCGGATTCACGCAATCATTGCCTGACCTTAAGCCGGAAGTAACTGTGCCGCCCTCAGAAGTGGCTCTAGGTTCGTCGAGGAAAAAGAGCCGTCGCATTAGTCCACAACAGAGCCGTCGGCGAGACGTCACATGGGCGTCGCTCTCAGACGGGAGGTCGGGATACTTACCGCAAGCAGCAGGGGCGCAATGGTGCCGTAGATGACGGTGATATGCGACTTAAGCCGCAATCCGGGACTGAAACCCTGGATCGTCATCAGGTCGCGGTAGAAGTTGCCCACACCGTACACCCAGTACATGGCCAACAGCTCCATCAGGCCGATGAAGAGGTAGGGCAGGCCAGCGGCGTAGTTGTCCAGGAGGTCGATGACGTAGCGACCGCACTGTGGAAAGACGCGCTGCAGTCGGGACCGGTTCATCTACACAGGCGTTGTCCAATCTGCCCTCGCTCAGCAGGGCGGGGGGGGGGGCAGTTCTTGTGTCTAGTGAAGTGCCACGAAAAACAGGTACCGGAACTTCGAGAACCGGTACTAGATACCGGGCCCGGCTGCTGATGCTCGTCACAGAATGCTATTGGCTCGATTTTGTTCGCGACCTTTCAAAAGTGAGGAAAACAAGCGCCTATGGTTGACGATGTCCTTCTTAGGTACAGCCTTTTTCTGTATGGGAGGGCATGCGTCTGCATGTGTTACTTCTGTACATGACTGTCTGCAACTGTGGCTGTGAAAGGGTTGGTTTGTATTTATCGTTCTCGGAAAGGAAGCATGTATCACCAGTCTTTTAACATTCACCCATATCAGCAATCGCATAGCTCATTAGAGTATCGTATCAGGCCCCGTGACAAGATCATTTCAAAGTTAGCCAAAAAAAGTGCATATGAGCAACCAGACCTTGGTCGTTTCGGCCAGCGTCTGTTTTTCCGCATGGACACCGAGGCACCCTACCAACAGACTTAGATGTCACAACGGCGTCATGGTGAGCTTCCTGTGATGCATCGTCGCCACAGGTCACACTACTGTCTCCGCGTTACTGACACAACGCGGCACACGGCGGTCCCGTGCCGGCCCACCGCCTGTTGCCGCCCTGACACAACACAGCACAACACAACACAACACCACAACATCGAAACACGACTGACCTGTGTGGTGAGGGGTATGCCCATCAGGAAGAGCACGAGACAGACGGTTATGACAACGAGCGGCTTCTTGGGACGCAGCCTGGGGAACTCGTCCAGGATGCAGGTGATGATGTTCTCGATGATGGCGAACTGCGAGTCCAAGCCGAGCGTGAAGAGCATGAGGAAGAAGAGCAGCGCCCACAGCGTCGAGACGGGCAGGCGTGTCACCAGGTCCGGGTACGCCACGAACGCCAGGCCTGTCCGACCAGACGACCATGTGAGAGGGACTTGTAAGGCGGCCCGGCGAGCCTGGCCAGCCACCCTCAACAGGTCAGCTCGGGCGTGATTGTACCACACTGCACACAGCGGGGACGTTCGTTCGGTCACAGCCTGATACACTAGTTCGTGGCTTGTCTTTTAGCTGGTGTCTGAAATGACGTGTTAGTTGATAATTGGGCTTTAAGAGAGTGCCAACTGCAATGAGTATGAAAAGAAAACGAGGCTTAAGTGTACGGTAGGCAGTAAAGGTTCCATTGAACTTTGCCCACACGTTGAAGCGTTCTATACAACGGGTTGGAATTCGTCCTTTTTTGTCTTTGCCAAGCTGTATATTCCTGTGGTAAAAAATCGACTGCAGCAGTGCGGAGAGATGTCGTGTCAGAGGAGATGGATGTACAGCAGGTTAGCACAAAGAAAGGATGATGGATTGTGGATTTACACACCGGTCCACATAAGGCTCCGGTCGCTGTCTGCGTTTCAGACGAGAGATAGGTACTAATCAACCCTCATCTAGCGGAACCCAAGTCATAATTGTTTGCGACAGATGCCAGCGAACCGAGAATCTCCACTCAATGGAAAGGAATTTGTAGTCATCTGTGCTCTGCCTGAATGAAGCACATTAAAATTAAGTCGATATACAGTGCATCGCTCGGATGCGGAAAGCACTCTCTGGACTGCTTCACCGTGTGTGGTCTGTGTATCCGATTCTGATCTGGGAGCAGGAGCAGTGGGCCGGCGCGAGTATTACTGCACATCAAATGGATGTGGGTTCCGTGGGGTCGCAGTATGCTGCTGGGCTTACTGTGCGATAAACTGGGTACGATAACCGAGCGCGTGTTTTGCCGACTATCGAACAAGGGCTGCTGGTGACTGTAAGCGTGATTAAACTAGCCCGTGCGGCTTATCGCAGTGTCGACCGACTAATAGAGACAGATCTGCTGCTGACTGCAAGCGTGATCAGCTTGCCCGTGCGGCCTGTCGCAGTGTCGACCGACTAGCGGAGACAGATCTGCTGGTGACTGGCGAAGCAGGGCCAACCTGACGCGTGCAGCCGGGGGAGTGGCGGGATCAAGGGGCGCGTTTCCGCTGCAAAAGATTTTGATGCGATCCTCTAGTTATAGTATGGCAGCTGCACTGCTCCTAGCCATCTCTGAAGCCCCGCTCGGTTGGTGCCACTCACCCGAGCCACTGTTGACCACTTCCGACACAGGCAGGTTCAGCTCGTGAGCCATGAAGCCGAGCACGGAGAAGATGGCGAAGCCGGCGAACACGGAGGTGCAGCAGTTACCGAAGCATACGATCAAGGTATCTCTGGGAAGAAGAACGAGTCTGTGAGCGGGCTGGGCAACATAGGAAACTTTGCTGGGTTATCCGCGATCCAGCAATTGTCCCATTGGTGTCCCTCTAAGCCAGGGCAAATGCACTTAGTTTACGACACACAGATTATTCTTTTAAGCTTTCTTCGTTGCACAGTCAATTTGGCAAGCTAATCTAAATAGATCTATGAATCCGCTTTCCGCAAAGATATTTGAGCTACCTTTAGCTTTGAGTTGCGACCCTCTAAGTGTCTGTGATACAGCGAGATAAAATCCAATATTAGTGGCAACCATTTTGCTCAAAAATTCTTAAACGGTTTCACATAGCGAGGTGATTACGTCAGCGGGTTCTAAAATTATCTGGCAAACACAATGTTGGGTCACCGCCAAACACAATACCAGTTTCCCTAGCTGTCATAAGACATGCTCCTGCTTACTTGTGCAAAATCATCTTATGGTAGTGAGGAAACTACCATTGGGATGGATGACGATGTTTTGCCTACTCTGAAAAGGTCGGCTGCATGGCGGAAGGACACGCGCCACACCTACCTGCTCTCCTCTGGTCTCCTCTCCTCTCCTTTCCTTTCCTCTTCCATCCTCTCCCCTTCCCTTTCATCCCTCCCCCAATCCGCTACTGCCCGGCACCCACCTGAGGACGTTATTGTGGAATTTGTTGTAGCTGGCGAGGGTGATGAGGCCGCCGCTGGCGATGCTCAGCGAGTAGAAGATCTGCACGGCAGCCGACTCCCAGATTTTGATGTCCGACAGTTTGTCGAATTCAGGCACCATGTAGAAGTAGATGCCGTCGTATGCGCCGGGCAGCGTGGCGCCCCGCACCAGTAGAATGATGAGCACGACGTACGGAAAGAGGGCAGTGAAGTAGACCACCTGCGGCAGATTGGTAGCTGTGACCAGCAGCGGCAGCGAGCAGGCATCGTGGCAGGTCTACCAGCGAGTACTCATCATTTGAGGGGGATGGGCCACACCGAGGTGGACGGTAGTCTAGAGGCTGCAGTCAGCTAGGACAGTCAAGACGGAGGCCCGTGGCGTCCGCCGTTTTTGGAGACGTGCACCTCAGTTGCCTGCATCTCAGTTGCCTGCCAGTTGGCCAGCATGACAGTCTCTTGCACAACGATCGCCGGCTGGCATGAATGCGACGAAAACCGTTCAGACAAACTATCTCTTGACCCATGCCGCGTCTTGTAAGCAGCCAATCGTGGGTAAGTCAGCAAGTAGGGCCGGGCGGTCGACGGGCGCTGTGTTGATGACCCTGTTCCTTACCTTTCCGGATGACTTGACGCCCTTGATGAGTGCAGCGCCGACTACCACCCAGGCAATGAGGAGGGAGATGAACAGGCCCCACTGGATGCCGCCCACCTCATCGATGCCGTCACTCAGGTTAAGCACGTGCCGCTCGAGGAACTCCTCGGACGCTGAGGGCACGTCGACACGTGGTCAGTAACTCAGTGACCCTCCGTGGAGCAGTGGGGAGGGGATGTGGTACGCGTCTTTGAACAGCCCGGTACGGCGGATCGCTCTGACCACTACCATACGCCCAATGACTCATGACTTTCTCCGGATCGTGATCCGCGAGTGACAGAGACAGACATAGAGAGGAAGAGAGGCAGAGAGGCAGAGAGACAAGGAGAAAGATAAATAGAAAGACAGAGAGACAGAGAGACAGAGGGGCACAGAGACAGAGAGACAGAGAGGCACAGAGACAGAGAGACAGAGAGACAGAAGGAGCTGTGATGTACTGCCAACACGTAAGACGGAACAAATTTAGCAGCATGTCTTGTACCGCGATTAGAGCCTTTAACGAAGTGGATAAAGTCGTGGATTTAGGTTTTATGCACAGAATGGAGTGGACTGGGTCGTCAGATTTAAAAAAGAGAAATCTGATGAAATCTTGAACACACACTGGCCAGGCCACATTGTTTCGAGAGGATTGGATGGCTCACATCATGCTGTAAAATGGTAATGGTGGTATGTGTGGTTCACGTTGCATTTTGAAATGTGCAGAAATGCAACGGGTCGATGCCGATAATTCTGGAAAACATTCGAGGTTCAGTGGTCGGAATGGGACCAAACTTCAGTAAAAGAATGTGAATATCGGATGCAATATTAAAACAATGCAGTATATTCGTTTACAACTCGCACCGTTAATTGCGCTGAAGGCGAGGATATACGATGCATTGGGGCTGGAAGTCCCAATGACTAGCAGTCGTTTGCCGTGCCTGAGGTTTGCCGCACGCGTGATGAATCATAATCAAGTATGATTTGCCATAGTTCCTTTGCAACCATGACTGAAAGCCTTACTGAAAGTTAGTAAACACCACGATCCTCGGTTACGTTATCAAAGGTAAAGATTAACAAAGCCTTGGCGGAGGTAAACACCAGGGTACATAGATTAACAATGCAACAAACCAAGCAAACCATTTCATGCACATTATCTCGGTTTAAGAAAATCTGGAACGGGCGTGCTTACGCTCACCGACCTGCGTGCTGCGCAATTAACAAGAGACAGACGCAGCAAGAAAAGTGGCAGGGAGCCTGCAGGGACGTACGGGAAACACGCAGATCCTTGGGCACGGTTTCAGTGACATTCAGCTCCTGGGCCTCGGTCTGGTTGGTGATGCAGCGACCGAAGTTGTAGATCCACCAGGTGCCGTTGTTCTCCGCTGAGCAGCGCTCGTACGCCGTTTTACTGAAGCAGTCTGGCGGCAGAGCGGCGTTAGATAGTTGGTGGCATCATGCAGTCCGACATGGAATAGGCCCCGTCACGTGAGTCGCTGACCCAGGCGCCCGCCGCAACTGACCTGTTTGACCAGACCACTGCGGAGAAACGCGACGACAAGGCCGTTGACCTGTAATATATGCGATCCGACAGCAACACAAGCACATAGGTGAGCACGAGCTCATCACCGAGACGGCGACAGCTCCTACCGGAAAGTCACGTTGTTCAATGCCAGACCCTAGAGACGGTCAGAAAACGGGTGCAAGCGGCTTTCGCGTGCGGGGCTCATTTCGTCGGTCCGGTGACTTTCGCACACCTCGAGCCGGCCACAACTCACTTGGCGTGTTGAAGTCGTGGTCGCAGTACTGCCACGGCAGGTCAGCCGTCATACTGGAGTAGGTGTAGTATATGGTCCAGGCGATGATCATGTTGTAGTAGAGGCCGACCGCAACTGATGCCAGGAACATGGCCACGCCAAGCCCTGCGCGAGACGACCAAGCCTGTTACAATCCATTCTCATCTAAAACGTCAAGTTCGAAAGGGCTCTAAAGGCTGGATGCATGAATGATTGTCCTGCGAAAACTCCCGGCTAAGTACCAATGTCATCACGCAGGAGTTGGTAGCATGGTTTTGCTCCTTTGAGGACCACTGCCAACAACATTGTGTTGGTAACATGCATGCATTTTCAGAGTTCGTTGTGGGCAACCTGATTTGCAAGTGTCATCGTTAGATGTAGAAACAACGTAACACGATGCGAAACACAAACTATATCGGCTCAAGAAAACAGTACTTCAGATTTAATGCTAGCGATGCCACTGGTTTTGAAGGGTGCGTCAACCACGCTGCTTAGTTGCATTTTGACGCCAATAACGATCCTCTGAAAGCATGCACTTTCTAGGCAACATATCGTTAATCGTAACTTAAAACGCTGTGGTCGCCAACATTGTTTGTTTTTCTCTTAATGTTCACCAGACATTTTCAGAATTTAAAAAAAGATGCGAGCTCAGGGCAGCTGTTTGTCCCAGAGTGGTGGTTTGGGCTGGGTCGATTCGTGTTTCAAGTTTACCGCTTCTGTCTTCGATATCACCGCAAGAGTGCACAGCGTGTAACTGGAGCGTGTTGCCTCACCCCTAAAGCCGGGCGCGTAGTGTTTGAAGAGCGTGATCGGCGCCATGGCACTGAACTGGCCGATGTTTAACTCCAGTAGAAAGATGGGGATGCCCAGGCAGAACAACATGATGCAATATGGAACGAGGAAGGCGCCGCCGCCATTCTGGTAGCACAGGTACGGGAACCGCCACACGTTTCCAAGACCTGCCGAACAAACGTCAGAGGTGAGTGATGCGGCAGGGAGCGAGGTAAAAATATCAGCTTGCCTGGCATGCAGCAATTCCATTGACTCATGCCATGCAGGAACAACGAAAACCACTACATCTCAACGTTATCAGGATGTTCAACCTGACCCTGTCCGGCGGCAAATCCGAGGCACGGCGTATGATCTACGATATGCGAGATCTTAGCTAATAACCTTATCGAAGCTGGTCACGACCTTCGGAAAATACGGTAGATAAGACCTATCCAGCACCACCGGTCAGACTTTTACCTCACCGATGGGACATTGCGGACACTGGACATATATGGCACACCCAGGGCGCCACTTACCGACAGCATAGCCGAGGCAGGAGAGAAGGAAGTCTAGCTTGCCGGTCCAGTTGCCTCTCTCCGGGTTCTCGTCGCCCTCGAACAGGTTCTCCACGGAAGAGTCGGGGATGGGCCGACCCGAGATCTGCGCGTGGAGGCACCAGGTCACGGCGCTGGGAAGGGCAGTCACGGCGCTCCAACGCACTCCGCCATTACGGGGCGGATTGCGAAAGAGTGGACATCGCGACCTGCACGAAATTTGTGGAAGCAGTCGTACTCGTGTTTTTTTTTTGACAATGGCCGAATGGATCTGCGCAAGTGTAGGGGAGTTAGCCGCGTGAAGATTTATTGCAGGTCGAATGGGGCTCTCAAATCCGGAGGACGTGTGTATATTGTGCTCCAAGACATAGGAGTATCCTTTCCGATTAAAGCAACAGGCACGAGTGTGTCAAATCTTACGTATCGTAAGATTTATGTAAGCTTTAATCCATCAGTCAATCGTGTGTTCTATCCTTATCCTAGAATCGCGTCCTCGCCAATTCCTATCAACAAGCCAAGCTTGGGTCCCTTGACCTTCGAGCTTTTAGTTGTACATCCCCCTCCCCCCACCCTGTGCATCCCACGTTTATTTTTCGCACCCCATTGCATGTTCATATCGCCTGCACACCATCTCTTATCAACATACATCTTTTTTACCGCAACGGGCGGCTTCCAAGATTTGTGGACACATCAAAGGTACATTAAACTACACAGATCCACTGGGGGCGCGGCTGACACCCTTCACACAGATCCACGAGGGACGGGCTGACACCCTCCACACTGCTGCAGTGGACTGCAGCCAACAGCGTTGGCAGGCACACACCTAGTTGCGTGTGTCATCAGGAACTTTACGACGCTCTGATCCGCTGAGGCTACATAGCGTCGCCTGCCGCTCACCCTGGCAGGAGGGGCGAGCAGCGCGCCGAATCGAAGCCCGTAGCTCTGGTTTCCCAGACGGGCAGCTAAACCACAACATTATTGCTACCAATACCGTCCCATTTACGAGGCTGACGCCTATTTACAATGTGAGTACCTTTCAACGAATGGTGCCGGTTATATCAATTATGTAGTGCAATCACGAAGCCAAATTAGCTTAAAAGTTCATATATGTACCCAATCTGACACCACGTTCACGTTTACCGTGAGATCACTGGAGATCAAAATAACACCAGACCAGAATACAAATGGCAAGCATCGAGGACTTCACCGCGTAGTGTTCATATAAGCCAGCCCCTGCTCTGCGCACGTCGTGTTTGTGTCGCACGGTGTATCCCTCCTTGACCACCTGCGCTGTAATGGGCGTGTGCATTTGAACGTCTGGGGCATTGTGTTGTAATGGACGTGTGTACGTGACCTACTGCGGCGTTGCACCACGTGTTTTTAAAGGCTGGGAGTTTCACACGGACATTTCACATGAAACATTCCGTGCAATACAACGCGATGGTGTCGGGGCTTCGGCAAAAAGTCAGCCAGCTCTACCGGACACTTAGTGCACAGTCATCGCGGTGGTCTATCGTCGAAGGAAGAGTCTGTACAGCCGCTGAGTCATCCTCCATTTGATCAAGAGTCAACTGTCAGCGTCGCCCCAACATCAAACATGACCCAACAGAGGCATAAAGAACTCCTGCAAACACGTCTCCAAAAAGGTCGGCGGCTGCGAGCTGAACGCGCGGCCGCAGCCGACCGCTTTCAGCCTTGGCCTAAGGGTTCACCCGCGCCGCGCGTTTCTCCGCTCTCCTCGCGCGCGAACGTGAGCCGTTGCCGACTCCTCGGGCGCCACCTGCCGCATCCATGTCGCCAGCGGTCACGGCTCCTCTGTAATCAGCGTGCCACTCGGCGTCGTGCAACGGCGCGTCCAGCGCGGCAGGTGAGAGGTCACCCCCCTCCCATGCCACCTCTCGTGCCGTCGGGACTGTGCGACTTTTTCAAACACGTATTGCTTCATAGCGCCCAAAAAGAACCAGTGCCACTCTGCATGAGCCTCGCTAGGACAGGAGCACCCGCCTAGCCCATCTCCAGTGCCTACCCCTTTGGCCGGTGCTGACCGCGCCACTGCCGCCGCCGGTCTGGCGGCCGGCGGTGCGCCGTCGGACCGGCCCGCCCGCGGCTTGTGGTCACGCGGCGCGCGGGCCGGCGCGCCGCGCTGCCCGCCGGGATCGGCACCGCCGCGCCACGTCACGTCGGCCCGCCGCGCGGAGCGAGGCCGCCGGGTTGAGGCATCGAGCGAGGCCGCCCGCCGCCCAGCGGCGCCGGGTGGGGGTGGCTCCGCTGGCGCCGCCCCTGCCGGCGGTTCGCGCGGCTTTCCTCGTCTGTGACGTCATTGTTTGCTCCGTCCGGATGGCAGGAGGAAAGCGCGATGTGGGCCTCGCGGCTCTCTCCCGTCAGCAGTCGGCTGGCAGCTTCTATCGGGCGTTCGAATGGGAAGTTCTGGGACTTATATGCGAGTTTTGCGTGATGGTGGAGCCTCCTGGGCTTGCATGATGTAGGTACTGAACCACGAAACAGTTTCATGTACAGTTACAGGAAAAAGTGGCTGCAGTATATCACTCCCCGCTCTGTCTCCCAAGCATTGTGGTCAGTGCCCAACCTTGAATGCGTAGTAGGTGTAATGTGGGGAATGCAGTTTTGCAGCAGTGTCGTTGGGGGGGGTGAGGGGGGGGGGGGGTGAGGGGGGGCGTGAGGGGGGTGAGGGGGGGTGCTGGCGATACTGACTCCTTGAGATTAATTAATGTTGCAAAAATGCGTACCGTCGCAGCTGTGGAGGACTTGAATGCTTATCAGCACGTCAACGGTGTCACAAATTGACAACTAGACAGTTTCGTGCTTTGCTGACGTATAATAGTGAGGCACTGGCCATATTGTGTTTTCCCTATCGATGGTAGAGAATGGACGTATTTTCATTGATTGACATTGTAAAATGTCTGGCAGTTTTGCACTATGCTACGTCCACACCCACCACATCGTTCGACAATTACAGACCCCTGAAAACGAGCGCTCATTTTCATCGAATAAAAGAACAGTTTTAGCGCGTTTTCTCACGACCGGCGCCTTGCGTACAGCGCCCGTCAGCATTACGAGAACGCCGCTGGGCCAGGTCTGCATCGGTACCCACGACTGCTGTCACCGATAGACGTCCGACTGCGGGTGGCACCGCGTGACAATGGGTCGCCGTTCCCGACCTTGGACGAACGCGGCGCTCGGTGAAACGCACCGCCGATGGTGTCACAATGCCGGTGGCAGGACGGACGGGGAGGGGTGGAGCAGGTAACGTGACAACGTCGCTCTATTTACATTTCTACGACTTCCTGGGGCCACGTGACATGCTCACCCTGCGCTAACGCCGGTTGATATAGATGTAGTGAATACGTCGATTCATATCCTTCGATGCGTGCAAACTGAACGAGACACAGCAGAAATAAGTGGACAGGTTCTTTCGATTACCATTCGTGGGCATGCAGCCTCATGAAATAAAGAAAGATGGCATCATGTCAGACGAATGCACCCGCGCCAGTGAGGTGGCTTATTGCAGCAGCCAGCAGGTGTATGTCGGGCTCAAGGTGCGCTTGACTTACAATCCACCAACAGGAGTGGTAAGAGTACACCGAAATAATGTTGATAGTACAATAACTTGAAAAATGTGAGGTGTCCCCATGCAAGAAACGTTTTTTGCCCACCATTTTCTACTTACTTCTGCCAGTTTTGTTTCAAGCACGGGACATGTGGAAGGCAAGTGCGCCGTAGCAGCATCAGCATTACATAAGTGATGTGGGCGAGCTTCACGGTCTGTCGACAGGAGCTTAAGTGCAAACGACAGAGCTGAGTCGACCGGAGCTGAAGTACAGACGGGACACCGCTTTCGTCGTTATTTACAGCTCCTTCGGGTCAGGATGCAACCTAACCCAGAACCTACACCAGCCATGGGGCGCCGAGACAGGCACTGGTGCGGGTCATATGCGGCCTGATGGCCCAGTGAACTGACCTACCACAGGCCGGTATGTGCGTCAGCGTCCCTAAGGGATCCACGACTCCAAGACTGTTGACTGTTGGCTGAGGGTGCATGTCACTGAGAGGATTTATACAAGCATGGCTGCCTTAGCCCTATTTTCTACGCAGTTAGATGAAGTGGCGATCTTGTCAGCCCTAAATAAACTTACTCCACAGTGTCGCAGTAAGCGTGACGATGTACGTTACACCTACTCTGCGCTCTGAGCTCCCGCGGCAAGCTCTGCGCTCCGCGTGCGCACGCGCGCGTATGCGTATGCGCGTGCGTGCGTGTGCGTCTTCGGTGCAGCGTATAGAGTTAGAACTCATTTGTAGAACTGCCACAACGGCCCTAGTGTACCAATACGCTGACTGTCGCCTTGGCTTTGGTGGCAACAAGTTGAGCGTAGTATTCTGGCCTTGGCATCAATTTGACGTTGGATCTGCTTCTGGTAAAGTTCATAAGGCAGACTTTTGCGCAATCAATCCTATTAATGCCCGAGTGCTACGGCTTAAAATTCTCGCGGCGGATTTGCGAATGCCTGGGCTGGTTCTTGTGAACTGCAAACATGATCATGCACATCATTTATGATATCTTGAATGCCTAGTATCCACCAAAGTGATACCTGCAACCCGCTCCTCTCGAAGTGAGGTGGTCTAAGGATTTAATACCCTTGGCTTTATGGCTGCATTTGCGTATAATGTCACTGAGAATGGCCTGTGCTGCAGCGCAGGGGTCGGGTAAGGAGATTCAACACATTCTCCTCTGTGGTGCACGGCGGTTCGTTACAATTGCAAATGGCATTGATACACCGCTCGTCTATCACCGATCACGGACACTTGCAACACCGGACCCCGGCCAGAGGCAGATCTTGATGACGTCATAGGGTTCACATGGCCAGGCACCGCGTTTGGTCATTTCCATGCAGTTAACTGCCAGCTGTTTTAACTCTTTTGCACCAAAGAACCTGCCAAGTGCAGTGCTTGAAGGGGTCGTCCATAAGGTACATTACGCGTTTTGCTCATTTTCATTCCTCTCTCCTCTCTGCTTATGCAACGGTTACGGTCCCCCCCCTGGCTGTGCTGTTAAGTCCGTTTGAACCCCCCTCCCCAACGGAGCTAAAG